CATCACTACACTTTGAAGGTGCAAAGCGCATGCCGAACGGAGCGACAACTTGCTAATCTGTCAAGTGCTCTCTGTGCATCCTCCGTACATTCGACAAGCAAGTGATTTCATCAGCGTACTCTAAATCGCACAGCTTTTCTCCAGCTGCCCATTCAATACCAACATTGTGGAGACCACTAAGTGCGTTCTCCGGTATCTCGGCTCCGACGAAATTGATCAAGAATGGCAAAATAGCGCACTCTTGATGAACACCGCTTCTGGTTTCGAACGGTTTACTTAGCCAACCGTAGACCCTCACGTTGCCAGAAGTATACAGGTACAGCGACCGCAATGGGTTTCGCGGAATCGCCGCCCACCTTGAAAAGAATAGGGAGAAGCCCATCAGGTCCCGCAGACTTCCCTTTCTTCATGATTGAATGCAACTTAGTACTTCCGATTCTGATGGGGGCTCGCAGGTTACTACCCATGGGGTTTCCGCCGCACCTGCTGGACTGACCACATTAGCACTGGGCCGATTGAACTGTTCACTAAAATACTCTGCCCAGCGATCAAGTTGTTGTTCTTTATTGTGAATACTCGGTCCACTTTTATCGCAAATGGTCTCAACGACCGGTATGCGATGAACTCCGGTGCTACGTATCAGGTGAAGTGGTAGTTGACTATTCCCTGATGCAGAAGCCACCTCCATTTCACTTGCTATTTTGGCCCACCAGTTTTCGCGACCTTTCTTGAGTTGACGTTGCAGGCGCTGGCAGTCCCTACGCTGGTCCTGGAAGACTGGGGTCCTTCGCTTTTGACAAATCAGGATTACTGACTTCTGAGAGATCCAATATCTTCGGCGAACTTCGGATTCGGTCCCACAAGTAACGTTTGTTGAAGTGTGCATCGAAAATCTAATTTGGTCCCACAGTTGATCTACTCCACTATGTTGCAGTTCTCCCAGTTCCTGTCCAAGCTTCTCCTCATAACGTGTACAGACAGATGGATCGCGCAGACGATGATGAGCTGAGGAGGCGATTTCTGCCGATCAACGATGAATGAAGTGGAACAGAATTAGTCCATGATCCGACTCAACGCAGGTGGTCCAGCAGTATCTGAAATTTTGTACTGATCCACGCCAACGATAGCTTACAGATATGTGATCAATTTGGGTCAATCTTCCTGTTGAACTAGAACACCATGTAGCCGTTCGACTAGAGCTATGTCGAAAGGAGGTGCTAGCTAAGAACAGCTAATGATCCACGTAGGATTCAAGTTGCTGATCACCGTTACTTGTTTGCTGGGGGAGGGGATAGCGCGATGCCCTCCTAGACAAGTTTCGGAGGCCCTCAGTTTTTCAACCCATGCGTTAAAATCACCTGTCAGCACTATAATATTAGATATGCAGGGCAACCGAATGAGTTCCGCGAGTTTGTTGTAAAATTCATCCTTTTGCGCAGTGGAGCTGCAATTGGTTGGTACATATGCGGAAATGATGAACAAACATCGTTTGGTATTGCTGCACTTCCAAACATTAACTGAACCATGGAGTCTCATTGCACACAAACGACTATTGACGGGTATCTAATCCATCAGTGAGGCTTCCGCTTTATCGTTTAGTACGATCCCTACACCACGCTGGCCCAGTGAGCGGGCTTCATTGTCTCCTGACGTACGAATGAAATACTTCGAGGACAGACAGAGGCGCACGTAGGTGGCTTACGATACCAGGATCCTGAATTCATGGCTCCGATAAGCTAGACATCAATTTCTAAAGAATTCATTGTGCGAGCAAGACACGCTTATTGACCCAGCTGCATAAGAGTTCTCACGTTGAAGGCATCCAGGTTGAGATGTTTACGATACTTTAAAATCTGCCCTTTATTTACAGTGCTGTTTGGCAACGACCTTTGGTGAGTGACGACCAAGTTGTCCGAGGGAATATCACGGGTCGGAAGAGGGGGTAAAGGGAGGGTTGGGTAGGGAAGATAACGAGTGAAACAAAGGTTGGGATGTCTGAGGAGTAGCCCACTTATCACTACCAACCTCGCTCGATGCAATGAGCAGCGCGGTCCTGATTAGCCTGCGCCACGACCGATACAGTATGAAATTTTTTTTAGTTTGTGCGTTCATTGAAGCTTTATGGACAGGTAGTGCGAGGGTATCCAGCCACTAAGCAGGGGAACGATTAGGGTTCTCAACCAAAGCCTTTAGTTCTGACAAGAACCTAACCGCAGGGTTAAGGCGGATTGGAGGTCCATTAACTTGAATCAATTACACCTCCAACACGTTTTACTGACTGAGAAACCAAGTCAAGTTGAACCCTGAACCTGGAGGACCAGGAGACTAGACTTCGTTTGACCTCTACCCATTTACCTTCCAGGCGTGATTAGATCTATGACTCGACAAAAGCCATCCTGTGAAGTTCTTTGGGTGAGAGAGGTGCACAAGCCATCACACCACGTCAAGGTGCAGCCTCATCGTAAACAGTAAATCGAAATGATAATTTTGAGTGGAATAAACATTTGGTGCGCATAAAAATGACATCTCAATTAACTAGTATTGGAAAGATGGTCTCAGAGATGACGTGAACTGGTAAATATTCACCCACCTCGATTTTCCACGATATGACGCAGTTTATCCCTGATCAAAGAGGCCATCCGACGTTGTGGATCATTCGGATCGGGTGTACGTAGTGGAAAACTAAGTGCCTGAAACAAATCGATCACGATCGACCGGAACTGGTCCCGGAAAGCAGTGAATGTTTTCACGGGCGTATTCGAACAGGAAGAGAGTTTTGTTGAGTAGATTGAAGTCAGAATCGTAATAGCATCTGCTTCATTGGCACAGTGATTGAACAGAGTCAACAACAATTTTTCAGAAACCACCTGACTCAAGTATTTGCGTAACGGTTCCGGTCGTTCCGGTTCCAGTAGTCGAGTAATCACTTGAAGGCGTCGAACAGCCATAACTGTGGAGTGCGATGCGGTACAGCCCGGAAGCTGATCCCGGAAATACGAATTTAACCAATCGCAGCATTCGGTCAGACAATCGACAGTTTTCGACAATTCTGTTGATTGCGTCGCACTACTGATCAGGCGATCAATTACCGGTTGGGATTGCATGACGAATGTGATGACTCGAAGCTGTTGGGCAAATTCCACCTCGTCTGGCACCTGGTCCACGTGACACCGATTAGAAATCAGATCAACAAGCAGATCAAGACCGAGTTCCGGATGAAGAGTGCACATAGCGCACAACACTTGACTCAACGACATTGCGAATGAGTGCAATTCGATGGAGGAATGCTGTTGTGTCTGCACACGGACCCATGTATGAACGCAAGCCAAGTGAACGCGGCTAGAACACGAAGAAAACAAGAGAAAAAACGCGGTGTGAACGATTGTCAGAAAAAAGGGGAAACTATCGACAATGCGTGCGTCTAAAAGGCTGATAATTGTTCTTTAAGCGAATTAGTCTACGAACAATGAATCACTTACCGCACCAACTCGACTGTCAACTCTTTCCTCCAATCTGGTGCACCCAAAACCGGCGAGGAATTGCCGAGATTCCACAATACACCAGAGAGAACATGAAGCATTTCGGTGGTATAGAATACCTGCGGATTGGCCAGTTTGGAGCCTTCGGTGTAGAGCGAGCAAACACGACCAACCCATCGCAGTACACACCTTAAACGGGCAGACTGGCCGGAGTCTGTGTGCAGACACAGAAAAGCAAGTAAACGCTGACTGGTACTCGATGTGGTCGATGCTGTGGTTTGCAATTGGGAGCACATTATTTCGACAGATTGGCTGGTTGTGTCCAAGGAATCGGTGGCTGGAAAGACATAGGAAACATAACCACATTTGGAAAAGCCATGCGCAACGGATATGATGATTTTGCATTAGATACATACAATGGATAAATGGTTCTACATAGTAGTTCCAATACGACGGTCGACAACTGAGGTGCGCCTTGTACAATTTTCCAGAATGAGAGTAATGCGGGAGGGGCAGGAAGGTGACAGAAAACAAACTGAGGCAAGTATCTTCAACTCTTTTTATTACACAAAAGTGAATACAGTAAAAGGGGTAAGCCCCATGATCTGAACCTGTAAGTGGGGAGGTATGGGGAACATTTAAGCTAGAACCAGGTTATTGATTCCGCGTTTAAAAACATCGATGTTGCACGTTGGAGGGAAGACCGAAAGGGGGAGAGTGATCCACAGTTGTGCCGTTATTGGGAAAAAAGATGATTGAAGGTTAGAAATGCGACACCTGGGGATAGTCACTTGAAATGGGTGACTAGCCGTTTGTGCACGGGATCTACGAGGAAGAACAAGTGGAAGATGGACAGATGCGGAAAGTTCATCAGAGTAAAATCCAGAGAAGTATTGATCGAACAAGGATAAAGAAGCGACTGCCTGATGGTGAGCTAATGACTGCAAGTTGGATGTTAGGGATGGGTCGTTGATGAGACGGATGAACCCGATCAAAGAAGAGATAGTGAGGTAGACGGAACTCCACTCCACACATGACTGCAGTATTCAAGTGTAGGGCGAATCTGAGCTTTGTAAAGCGAGAGAAGGTGAATGGAAATGAAGAAACGTCTGGCGCGGAAGAGGAAACCAATTTTGCGCACAGCGCGGGAAAAAAGTAGATAAATTTAAGGTGACCATGGAAGAGAACAAGATAAGGAAAGACCCAATGGGTTGCATGATTCTGTGGAACGGAGACTGTTCGAGTTGAAATTCAAAGAAGGGGAGAAAGATGTGTGTTTAAGAGAAATGGACATAAGGAAGGTCTTACTGGTATTAAACAGAACACGGTTGCTACAGCTCCAAGCAGAGATAAGGCCCAGATCAGAATTTAGGGAGAAACTAAGGGAGGAGTGGTCGTCACCAATGCTGGAGTTAGCGATACGCGAAGAGAAAAATGACAGAGAAGAGTGTAGAGTAGCGTCATCGGCAAAGGCGTGAATAGGATTTGAAGTTGAAGAAAGAAGGTCATCAATAAACATCAGAAAAAGGGAAGGGGAAATTACAGAACCTTGGGGAACACCAGTATTCACAGGCACGGAACGAGACATGGTTCCATCTACTCTGACGGAGATGCTGCGGTCCTTGAGGTAGCTTGCTGTCCAGGACACAAGTTCCGACGAAAAGCCAGCAAACCAGCGTGCCAGACACGATCGAAAGCTTTCGATACATTCAATGAAACCGTATGCGTTTGCCCGTGGTTGTCGACTACCGCTGACCATGTATGCGAAATGGGCGTCAGAAGATCACCGGCAGATCGATGTGATCGGAAACCGTACTGGCGGTCGATAAGCATAATGTTCTGCTCCAGGCGGTGGCGGAGTTGATCAGCAACAACTGATTCCATAACCTTCGAAATGACTGGTGTGAGAGAGATGAGGCGGTAGTTGTCTGGGTCAGACTGGTCGCCACATTTGGAGATTGGAAATATTTCTAATATTTTCCATGGGGTTGGGAATATCTCAGAATTAAGAGATAGACGGAATAAGCGACGTAGGACGGGAGCCAGTTCTGGGGCTCACGTTTTAAGGACAATGGGAGGAATCCAGTCGGGTCCAGGTGGCTTGTGTGGGTCCAGCGACAAGAGGATCTGACGTATTTTTCTGGTGGAGATGAGCGGTGTGAAAAGATGGTTTGCCGTAGGGTTTGTGCAGGGTTGGATAGGTGATTCAAAAAGGGTGGAATTGGAAGCAAAATGAGAAGCAAACACTTCTGATTTTTCCAAAGGGTCGGATGCTATGTCACCGGATAGTTTAACAATGGGTAGGAAGTCAGCGAAACAGAAGTTATGAGAGACTGCCTTAGCGAGTGACCAGAACGTCCGGCTTCCGGAGGGAGCGGTCGCCAATTGTGCTGCTGATTCCGGTTGAAGCAGCTTGTTGGCTGATTTGATAGTATGCGGACATTGGATGTAGCTAAGTGAAGAAGCGACCGTGTTTAGAGCAGTCCCGTGGATTTTGATCTGCTGGGAAAGTAGTGGTAGTCGCTTTGGTACATAGGATTTGAAGTTCCAACACGGCCACCACGACCCAACTTAGATGATTGGCACTTTTGTTGTCGGCCAGCTTAATACCAAGCCTATGATGAATGGGGCCGCCAAGGTCCCATGAAAGAAGTGGGTCCTCGGGATTGAGGTTAACATCTGTTGGTATTGCTCCCTTCCTAGAAATAACTGAATTCCAGAGCAGCATTGCGCACTATTAACAGATTTTCAATGTATCAGTAAGGCCTCAGCTTTGTCGGCTAGTGCAAGACATCCAATGACTTGGATCAATATATAACAAACACAAAAAAGCATGAGTTATCTTCGAGGTTATACGCGGCTCACCGTGGCGACCTCTGGTATTCAGATTGAAGTAAGCAGCTAGAACACAGTCATTATCGTCACTGAATAACCGGATTAAATGTTACACATTCTGTTATAGGTTCTTTTTGAATAAGGCACTACAACCATTTGGAAGATAAGAAAAGCGAGTGGGAACAATTTCTCTCGGAAATGTCTATATGATGACGAGACTCAGTATATTATCCGACTGCACAACAATGTAAGCTGATTAATGAAAGCGGGTGATCGAGTAAGTGATTTCACACAGCAAGCGAATGAACAAGATAAATAATTCATTTCCGTTTATTAGTTTTTTTCAGTTGCGATTCATGCACTTTGACAAAACTATAACGTTCAAGAGGAGCTAGGAACAACGGGGAAAACATAATGAAAATGAGGAGTATGAATGAACTTACCGAGTTGAAAATCAGCTGCAAATTGAACGAGGTTAATAAACTCATCATCAAATAACAGCCGTGCAAGCACATAATCCAGCAATACCAGAGGCTGTATGGTACAGGCAGCCATTAACCGAATAAGCACACGTTCGGCCAAAACCGCAGCAAACGAGGATTGAGTCCAACAGATCGACGAATCACGAGTGCCATCACACTTTGAGTCCAACGGCTCTAACCAATTAGCTATTAATTTAGGTCCGGGTGTCTGGTTACTGACGGTGTCCTGACTCGCGGTCACAGAACCGATGATCCTCACCAGGTCTGAGAAGGTAGACGATTGCGAGCCAACATCACATGCCAGTAGGGAAGCAATTCGATTCATTTCAGCAATTCTATAGGGTTGCATACTGACGCTTAAAAGCGGCCAGAGAAGACGATCGACCAAGGTTGGGACGATTGCTGATTTTGGAACCGTGCTCAGAATTACGTGATTGTGAATCACATGCAACAAGGCAATGGAACTAAACATCAAAACAAGACAATATAGGAAATTAGTATAGAGAAGATCCTAAAGATGCGATGCATCAAAACATATGATGGGATAAGTATGATTTAATGCAATTGATCGAGTACGTGTTGTAAGTGAGGGCAGATGCATAAACATGAGGAAATGCAGAACTGAGAATTTGCTGATGGCAAATCCGAATGTAGTGACCGACAGAGAGCACTGAATAGGTGTTTCGGTTTGGCTGACGTCAATGATCAAGGCGTTATATTTTCGTATCCCGGTCGAGCTAAGAAAATGTTACATTAGGGCAAATGCGACTATCCACGATTCATATAAACCAGTTATATAAAAAAACGGAATGAATTAATCCTAAGGACCACATTCAGAAAAATGATGTTCACGAACGAATCTACTGGTAAGTTTTAACCCCGTCACACAAAGTCGTGTTTCGATTAAATTAACACGGAGCACCGGATAAAGACCGCTGATAGTACAACACACAGTCAATACATTCGCATTAGCTTACCACTCTCTACCTTTCTTTAGCCAGTCACCATCTGCTTTAGTAGACCTCACACTTCAAGTCTATCAGGAAACATGAGCAATGTACGTCCAGTTATGATATTCTGTGAAGGTCAAGCAAATGTTCTAGTGCATATCCCATATCATCCCCTACCACTGCACTATTCATCCAGTGGTCCTACCAAAATGGTGTGATATTTTAGAAACCGGATGAGGGGAATGGTTTCTTGTCAGCTGTATTTTAAACCAAACAAAGAGCGATAAAAAGTTTGCACTCATGCAACACACCTGGACATTCGGGTGAATTCCGATGGGGTCGGGAGTGCTTTGAGAGAGATCAATCGTTCTTCGTTCCAATCTCCGTCATTTATGTGATAACCTAACAGGCGGAGTTTCCTCAGTGCCAATGACTTGCCCCGTTCAAGTGAGTGTTGTAATCTAATGACTAAGCGGTTGGTGAGACATGGCTGGAACTCCAGCACTGCATGATCCGGTCGTCGGCCGACAGGAGAACTTGTGGTTAGAGGAACAGCGTCATTAGAAAACGACTGACACGCTGGTTCGAAACCAGCTTGAGTGAATACTCCAACCAGCGCTTGATTGGGCGATCGTGGCAGTTCCCTATAGAAGTCCACCAAAACAGCAGAGGGGCCTAAAAGTCACAGAGTGAGAACCAAGGGGTAATTACAATGGATGCACACAAATAATTGAAGGAAATCATCAGAAATACGACGACTGTTGCACATCTAACAGCTCAACGTCACAAAAGGTCCTATTCGACGGTCGATAGTATAACTGAAAACAGAACAGAGCCATTACAAAACTGTTTGCTACCACGTTCGAATGATGTAACACAATCTCTAACCGAATGATTAAAAAATACAGTTTTTCAAACTTCCGGTTGTTTGGAACACGAGTGTCAGATCCTGCAGACCTACTTCACTTCTCAGATCTTTGCAACTTGCGATGATCTGGCCACAACTGACATTCCGCTAAACACGGCTTGTTTGAGCATCGAAAGAGATGCATCATGCGTGCCCTGCGTTTGTAGTATTCGTAGGTGAAATGCTACCATTGGAGCACGAGAGGGAAGGATCAATAAATAGGGCACACCACCAATACAATTGTACAATACGTAATTAGCTGCGGTGTTCGAACTTAGTACACATGAACATGAGTATGGACATCACCATGATCCTGTCGTTTGAATGAAGCGGACCAAACCCAGCTCTTCACAGACCTATTGCGATCAATAGTGAGTCTCAGCTTCAGTTTTCACAACCATTGGACAAGTAACTTTGTGCGGCGGCTTTGGTTACTGTTTCATAAAGGCCCATTGAGATAAAAAGAGCACAAGAAGACTGAAATGCTAAGATCAGAGACAAGGAGAGGATAGAGAATTCATATAAACTGGGCTTGCAAAGATAAAAGAGCAGATGCACGAGTACCACTGTTTGCGGCACAGCCACATCACTGTCTCTAACCATTGGTTACCACTAACTCGAGGTCCCCTACCAGGGAACCTAACGCGACCAAGTTTCCCGGTTATGGACCATTCAAATACATATGCTGGTACGCTTACTCTGTTCTGCTGATAGAGGGCAATTTCACAAGGGATAATATTATCCATGTAGAATAATTTTATACTTTAAAAGCACTAATGCGGTGGGACTAAGACTGGTTGGAAATAGGCTTGTTTCGGTTTACGAAAAAGGATGCATGCGCTAACCGTCACGTTTTTAGATAGCACAACCTTCTCCATTACCGGGTGGGCACGGTTTTACTGAATAAATGGGCATAGACGCCCAATGATGAGATGTGAGCACGTGGAGGGTTTTTATCTGGCTCGTAATTTCGTTAAATGTCCGTAGAAAGGATGGCGATGTGTGCGTATATGTCCAACGAACACTAACACCATCGGACTGCCCAACAGACAGCCCTTTATCGATAAAGAGGTGCAGAAAACAAGTAGGGAAATTTTTTAATGAGTTTTACTACTCGGGATATTCAAGAAATATGGTCAAAGGATGAAAAACCAGTAGCGATAATATAGAGAACCCTAATCAGTTTTGCCATGCCGTTGATCAGACAACATCGTGTGACTTGAACGTTCACGGGAAAACAGCGCACTTAATGTCACTGGTGAAGTGCAATGCTACCGGAGAAACACATAGCGACTTAACTAAATGCGGAGTCATCATACAGTGACAGACCATTCATATTCATACAGCGATGCATTGATCAACAGCTCCGTTATAATAATTCGTATTTGATACAAGTGATTAGAACAAACTATTTCACTTTTTCAAAGAAACACTGACCTTGATAGCGCTCGTGTATTGTGAACGAAAACAGTTCAATTCGTTGCAACCAGACCAAACACGGTAGACGGATCGTTAAATTTACCGCGCTCCCAGCACAGCCGAGGTTAGACGAGTCGCAGATTAGTTGTGGTCGACTTTCTGAGTTCGGACGGTCGAGATCAGCGGAACAGGATTCCGTCAACTCAACGGTGGCCGTTTGTTGACAGTCTGGTTTGGGGAAAGATCCTTTATGCGGAACAGATGCGCCAGATTGGGCAACGAGCGGTCTCCATGAAGACAGATCATGCTCTGTCTCGCCGGCATAGAACCAAGCGAGAGGCGCAAAATCTTTCAGAAGCCTGCCACGTATGACACTGTGTGATTTATCTGAGAATACATCACAACACACGCTCGGAGAAACGGGAGGAGGATGAGGCAATTTACAAATGCGTTGCCAGTGCTCAACAGCGGCTTCACCGAATGCGGCCAATGGGCCCGACATGCCAGCCGGGACGGACAGAGTCAGTGGAGACACCGGGAGGCGAGCGTTTGATTGCGGAGTACAAAGTACCGGTGGCGTGGTGAAGACCTGACCTAGTTCGGATGCGCCGGATCCGCGTTCAATCGGTGACGTGTTTAACTTCTGCACAGCGGCGGTGAGCATAACCGGATCCAGTTCGGATTGATTCAAGAACGAATCGATAGCACTTTCAATCAGTCGATCGGACTGCCCTGCAGTTTCGATATGACAATAAGCGAGCAGCAGCAGGAGCAAACAAGGAAGAGGAGTTGACGATTCAGAATCACCTAACTTCCTTAGGAACCATCTTCGGGCCGGATCATGTTTCATAAGTAACAGATGCAAGCTACAAACGAGCCAATCCATAATGGTTTGGGGACGTATACCGTCTAATAATTGGTTAGCAAATCGATTCAGTGTGACCCAACCACCAGCGAGGGAAGCCATAGTTATCATACGACAAACAGACTGAGGAGCATGACTAAGCCAAACCAAGTCCATCAGGCTAACCATGAAATGACGACCAAGTGACGATGGTAGGATGTGTTCCGGTTCGAGACTGTGCAAAAATTCGTAAAATAGTCTACTAAGACCAACTAGTCGATCGATTTGCGGATTTGGATCTCGGGACTCCGACGATGGATGAACGGATGGGGCATCGATGAACATACAACATTTAGTTCGAGGCACATGGGTTTGACAGTCCTGATGGGTTCGAATTTGATCACCGGATTCAGATGTACAATGGAGCTGCAGCCAATCGTACAGCTCGTCAATTGGTGTGGCTGGAGTCGCGGAGAACAGACGTGCCAGCGGATCTTTGCACAGGATGTTTAGCTGGACGAGATGATAATGCAGATAGTTAAGAGCACGAAGAGCAACTTCGCATCGAACGGTTTGGTCCAGAGCATGCATCGTGTGCGGGGCACAATGCGCGATCACTGATGGCCGCGCGGTGGTGGATTCATCACACGCTGGGTTCTCCGGTGTTGGCACCAAGCGGTTACAGGTAATACGAATGAACAAATCCTGCAGTTCAATCAAGCCAAGTGTGCTGGATTGCGGAGGTGTCGATTCGTAAGAGAGGCTGCAAAGTTTAAAAAAAATATATTTTCGTAGAAAGTACCGCAATAGCTATCATAGGATGAGAAGGATTCAAGAGAGGTTATAGAATTATTACGAACTGGCCGCTATGTCTAATCAGGATGCAAGAATATAAAGTGCACGAAAATAAGATGTCCGGATGACAACAAAAAATCAGACAGCTGTGAAATTACACAATAAGTTCTTTCTTGCGGTGTCAAATTGGGTCTTGAGGGAAATAGTGTGTTGTGCCAGCGATTTTCGCTTTCTTGAAGCACATCCAGAACGGGCCTTTTTAAAAAGATAACCCTCGGTAAGAAATATGAGAGGAAAATCATCAACAGACAAGGAAGTTGAAGGTCAACGAATGAACGTATCTATATCAATTGCCGAAAAAAATTCTCTCAACAGTGATCGTCTAATGACAGGTGTCCAGACCTTAAGATAACTGCGGGGTTGAACAGTGCCACCAGCATAACTTCGATTGAAACTATACACTGAAGGACTGAGGGTGGATAAAAAAATAAACAAAAAAAACAGGAAGTTTTGCCAGACGCGTACACGAAGCCGGGGCTTATATTAGAAAAGGGGGTGCTACAGCAAACAGTAACAAGCCTTTAAAACCCAACATCATCCGGTTGACTAGCCGGTCAACCACTGAACGAAATCCGAGTCTCAAGGGAGAGGGTGACAATGGTCGGTCTATATCAAACACCCAAGTTACTCACAGATACGGTTCAGGATGAAGCCAATTTATTATCACGTGAAGAATAAGGGCACCATGATGGAGAAAATCGGACAGGAACCCAAGCACACGGGGAAATAAGCATCCTATGATAACTGGAGAACGGAATGATGGCCAATATATGTAATGGGTGATTTTAGTTTCAAGCTTTATTTTTATACAACGAGAGAAAGGTTGAGAAATGTCCCCTGTAATTAATTGAAACAGTGAAGGTGAGGCAATTGGGTGAGTCAATTTGGCTTTATTCATTCACTATCTGCGCCAAAAAACATCACACACCGAGCAAGCCGAACTGGGAACATGCGTACAATGCCACATAAATGGCAATCCATAAAGGTGAAACAATAGCGTTGGGGTGTGATCACAACCACCTAAAACAGTGGCCTTCGGACAGCGATAGTCAGTTTATCCATTTTTGTAACGAACAAGTTTCTGCAATATGCCATCCCAGATGAACTTCTGTAGAACTTTGTGGACAGCTGGATATCAAGGCGGTAATGGAAGTGTATCAAACACTTATTCGGGTAGATGAAAACAATATTAACGTTTGATTTTCAGCATGCACTCAGATGGTGCTGTTGTTAGCTACTCATAGAAGTTCTATCAAAATTTACTCCTAGTTTCGGCTGATTAGATGTGTTTGTCTTGTGAAAAATCAATAGTTTCAATGAAATCGGAAGCGACGTGTGGACGCCCCGTATGGTTCCGACACAATGGAATAACAGAGGTCAAACTAGGTCAGGTACCATTCCTGAGTTCAAATATCAGGTGGAGCCGACTTTTGTGCCTGCAGACGGGACAAAACGAAAAGATAGTACAAACGCTCTAACTGGGTGGCAATCTACCACAAACTTACGTTTCATTGGAATCGCGGGAACCAGGCACGTGTGGCGGTCCAAGGAAACGAATCACTCGGTCTACACAGAAAAGATCGAACGGATGAATTCCGTCCGTGTTCGTTTCAATCGGAGCGAAAGCAAAACAGGTGAGTAACACCCTCATCGCTCGCACACAAACGGGGCCACTGGTCACTGATTGCAAATCTGGTCGTTGGAGCAGTGCATCGAAAAACCGGAGGAATTTGCTGGAGTTTAACAGATAGCAACAGGCAGATGGGGATTTGCAGCAAACCGCGGCCACAACTCGCAGAACTAATGGGACCAATTTAAAAACATGCGATTTGGGAGACTCCAATGAATCCGGGAGATCATTGCTAAAGCCGATTTCATTTAGTATGTGTTCCAGAACTGCCTCGTTTAACACGAAGTTCGACGAATCCGGTGAACAGAAATTAGATGGGCTGGAAAAGTTGAATAGAAAATATTACAATAAACATGTGCGGGGGGGGGCATAACAGACCTCGATATGTTAGTATAAATTTTATTAGTGGAAAAAAGGTTAAATGAGTTGATAAATAAACCTCAGATACAACTGGTTGCCCTCTGTACGGTCGACAGATGGATATGGGAAACGGCAACAATGTAAGGTACCACCGGTCAAAGTAAAAAAGTTTGTTATAAGACTGTGTCAGAATTCCGATGTATGGACAACACTTCAAACCTAATATTAGACAATTATTACAATGCTGTTCGCGTATTAGTAAAGCATGTAGTTTATTTCGAAAATTGTTTGCAAGAATCTATTATTATAGACTAATTATCAAAGTATTGTGACCCATAGTACCCAAGGACGAGGCGAACGACATAGATAGTGGAGTGAAACGCTGAAAAACAGCATGGTGCATGAAACTCCTCAACCCAAAGGACCAGATTTATCATCGAAGAAGAAAAGAAATCCATAAATTCATTGAACGAGGTACGATAGAAAGTACGGACGTTATTATTCGTCGATAGTTGGTTCAAGATTCAGTGTGTGCACTCTTACATCATTGGACAAAAGTCAAGATCACCAGTTGGAATCTTGACTTGCACACTTGAGACACTCTGCCGATGCGGCTAAAACTTCGTTTCTTGTTAGTTTACGTGTTGTTCATACACTTTTTACTTGCAAGTGAATAGTACGAAAACTACCTTTTTGTAGCCACATTGCGAAATATGCAAACTATGGTTCAGCAAAGCTAGAGGTTCATTCAAAGTGAGAAAAAAAACAATTGTTTGCATTATGAGGTTCAGAGAACTATATACGGAGTGAGACTGAAGGGAATAATGCTTCGATGAATGTTGATTGACTGCGGCTTTGCACAAGTTTGCGCTTGCCAAGGCGATCAGGGTGCATAGCATTTACTCTCCTCGCAATAGCAACCACAATGGGCGTGTGTGTGTGGTAAAGCGGCGTGTTGTTCCAAATCGGAGTACTCATTGATCGCACCGTTCACCGATGCTAACACATCTGACGCCCCATACTGCTGAAAACGCAAGCCATACGTGTAGTGTCGTCTAGTAACCCACCTCGACATGCGTGCCTCTGACACAAGTTCATTAGACGGTTTAAATGTTATCACTGTTAGTTCTTTTTTATCACAACTTATCTAGTTTATTTGTCACATGAACAAATACCTCAGTGCACATGGATTGTGAGTGAAATAAGGGAAGCCGGGAGATAGAATCATGCAGGCGTTATCGGATCAACAATCCGAATCCGTAATCGCAGAAAGGACAGTGTTTCTATCAAGTCTAGTCGAAGACATGCAATCGTTCTGCCCTGTATTATTATCACCACCCACGCACAAATAGATCTCAATGAAGTATCGTTCACATTTATGACTGTGGAGTTCTAGATGTGAAATCTCAAACCCAACATACTGTATGACTGATCAGTCACACTTTCTAAATCATTGTGATTTCATCTGATCATAACAGCCGTAATGACGTGTACTGTGCTTCTACACAGTACACGTCATTATTTCGATCCGGCTTTTAACTCAAAAGGTTTTTGGAAGGAGGGAATGATCTACAGGTTTCTCTACTGAAACGTTTATTTGTGACGTTAGGCTGCAAACAGGTGGTANAGAGCGTGTCTATTCAGATTAGGAATAATTAGGTTGTGAACAAGCCTGTGCATGGATGTAGAAAACTAGCCAAACATCTCAGCAATCGCTTAAAGATCGAGTATGTTTGTTCTCTGCCTGGAAGATTTCGGACCGTTGTTGAAATTGGAATAAACGGATTGGCGGTATGGGTACCCAGTAGGAGTAGCACCTCTGACTCGGAGGGCTGTAGCCCCTTTTGGGGCATCCTCCGTTCTTTGGTCTAAATCAGGTGCTCAGCTCTCACCTGTGGCTCCAAGAAGCTGTGTGTATGTAACAGAGGCCACACCTCGGTAAAATGCTCGACAGGCCGGTCGGTTGAGGATCACCGGGAGTTTAACTCCCAGCGAGTCGATGCCTAACGAACGTGTTGGGCGGTCGAAGCCGCTTTCACGACTCAACGGTCAAGGCAATGACTCGGTTACTCATCAGGGATGAATGAAAACCTATTCAGCTACAAACTGTTAATGGCGTATGAACTCCCCCCTCCAGGAGGGCTACTGGCAATCGTGCGCTACCTTTCTGCTGGCTTGCAATTAGCACTTGGATGTGCAAAGTCTAGAGATGCCATATCGACCCAAGGCCGGGTGACGTTTCCTGTACCTAATGCTCAAGNTCAAGAAATTTCGTGGCTATTCACTTGATATATCAGTCCTCTTCACCGCCTCCCCCCTTCCTGAATGTTGATTGTACATTTGTATATTCAATAAATAAAAAGGAAGCAAAAAGACATTATTATTACTATTATTATCCTCTTCCAGGAACCATCCTCCATAAAGTAAGATTGGCAGTAAGGTGAGAGCAAAAGCACAGCGAATTCAAAACTTTCATTTTTTCAACATACGACTAATTTTGTTTTACAGTTTTTATGTCGATTCTAACTGCCCGTACATTCTTGTGAATGGGATACAAAACTCTGGTCCCAGTCGGCCATCGGTGGGGGGGATGCGATTTGCCATCTTTTGTTCATTAAAGTGAACCAGAGATCCTGGTGATTATGAGGTTAGAACTATTGGTATACTGAAAAGTTAGCGTGTGACGAAAAGAACTCCCTCCCCACCCAGGAGACGAGGAACATTTAAATCGGAGTGAGTGATTGTGTGCTTGTGGTAAGTTAAATTAACCCGATCTGCCTAACCCCACCACATATTCAAGAAAAATCGTCAGTATATGCAGTCGGCTGAAATGTCGGGAGGTGCTCTATCTTTTCAAACGAAACCGTTGTGAATCCAGTGTATCCAACCAATTGCATTCTACTGGGAGCCCCACAAAATGATTGGTGCGTCAGCCACCTCAAGCCACCGATTGGACCGAGTCTATCGTAACCCCGTCCAGTTGTAATGAACTTTATAGAAAAACAAAAGTAACCTTCGAGCGAGACCTGATTGGGAGACAGGTTACAACAGTTACCGCAGCTGCGACCTGTGCGAGGTTAACGTTGATGGCGACCCTTGGGTGCGCCATCACAAAAAGCTTTGACCAAGACCAGCAGACAAGAACTAACTTAAGATCGATTCCTCCGCGAAATGAAAGGCTCCCAAAACGGGATTTGATTGGAAAACGCGCATTTTCCCTCTCGAATCGACTATTTACCTTTCCTTCCCCCTGCTTTCCTACTTTTAATAAAATTTGAATTTGGAAATTTTCGCACCCAGAAGGACCAANGAACTTTTGACTTTTGAACTAATTTACAAGATCACTGATGGTTGTTCCGAAAGTGTTTGCAAACAGATGAGTTGTTTACTATAACCGCCATTCGGAAAGCGCCCAATACACAACCTCGTCAGAAGTTGTTTTCTCTGTTCTTTCTAGTTGGGTTTCGGGATCGTACAAATTACGTACGATGTTTCCCGATTATCAAGAGAATTGTGTTTAGTATCGCTATCTGGTCTGGGACGTGCAATGCTAGGCGAATTCGTTTGGTTCTCAATCAGTGACCGGGTTGTTCCGGCTTGTATCGAGTGGCCCTTGGGTTCACGGTCCAAGGCCTGTCCAGTAATACCGTTATCACAACAGACCAACTTTGAAAGCGACATTTGAATTTACTTTGTGTCTGTTGTCGACTGAGTGCACCAGGATTGCGTTGTTTAATGACGAAGTCTGTCCTAGTCTTAACCACTGTGGCTACTATTCTGGATTAGGTACCGACCATTGTTGTGCCGTTCGATCAAAACAGGATGCGCCATAAACGCATCTGAAAGACTATACAACCATTGATGAGGTAAACATCGATATGATATTCTTACTTCTAATTTGGATCATGGAAGAACCTTGAAACATGCACCGTAATTTGATAACGGTTAAGGTGATGCCAATTAATCTATCCAGACATGGGATTAGAATCTAGCTCGGTATTAATCCAATTAGATTCCTTTCGACAAAATAATCCGGGTATCTTTTCTCACACAAGATATTTCTAATGAACATCAACTCGTCATCCAACACCTCAGAACAGACTGTGCTCGTCCTGGAGACGAAACATTGGACTAATTTACGTTTCAGTTGGATGCCAACGGAGCTTTTGAAATTGGTGTTCAGCGATCATTTCATGTCTGTTTTCGTTACACCTTTCGTTGGATCTGATCATTTGCCATTCTTCCGAGAGACACACAATCAGAGACAGTCTTGATTAGTAAGCGCAATGGTTGGTGTGCCTTGTTCAATTCCAATAACAAGGATTTCAAGTCACAGTATCAGTCACGCAGAATATGTCGTCCACACACAAATCGCAATCTTCAAGATTATCGATTGCAGACACGAGTTTAGTTTCCTAATTCTGCGAGGAAGACAGCTCCAAGTAATGAACCCAGTGGTGATCACATAGCCACATTGCCTTGGTGTATGTAGAAAGTTCCATAAAACAGGATCTGGGATTAAGTGTTCAACAAAGCAGGAGCTCGTATAAACCCAGTGGTGGAGTAGTGGTTTAGTCGTTGTCACAGGCCACCCCACTTTGGTGGTACGCAGCTTAACTGTCGTCCGGTTCAATACCACGCCTTACCTATCGGGGCCTAATGTGGTTCACCACTCCAAGTCCCGGGGCTTAGGTTACCGGTTTCCATCACTGAACAGCTGGTCCTCGTGACTATGGGGTTTACCCCAACTGCTATTCATCACACGAAAGTGTGTAATAAAAAACTAATATTAAGATGCTTTTTTTCTATAAAATGCACTAAGAAAGTGATGGTTTCCACGGGAGGCACGTTTGTTAGCAGAAACTCGATGTCCAATGAAAACATTGTTTCGACCTTAAAGTTAGCATTCTTTAATTCATGTGTAAAATTAAATATCTCTCTCAGATTGTATACGACCATACGTAGTTTGATTGGTTCCAATAGTAGCTCGGATAACCAGCGTGTTACACTGTCATCGATAAAACGGAAAGAATTGGAATTCCCGGTTTGTGAATCTTGGGAAGTCCGTATAGTCTGGGGACTGTAGACCGGGATAGTGTTACGAGATGGGTCATGATGAAGCCAGTATCTGCCAGCTGTTTCAGAGTAGTGGTATTTTGGCGCTCGATTTGTTGCGTTGTGTCCTTCTCGTCAGGATTAATAATGAATTTGGACTCGTCACTCCGAATTACAGTTAGGTCTTCAATGTAATCGTGTTGGATCATAATTAATATTCCGCTACCTTTGTCTGACCTGGTCAGTAGGACATTCGAGTTATTCAGTAGTTCTTTCCTGACTGGTCCTAGAAGTTCTAGGTTCAACTTTTCGGCAGGGATGATGAGCGTTTAAAAAGATTTACTGAAGTTCTTATAATGCTTCATTAGATCTTGAAAACATACCTTGTGCGTTAGCGGATAAAGTTTCCAAATTTACTTCCTAATTGAACTACTCCCGTTTTCAGGTAGGGATATAGAACTTAGTACCCAGTAACGATGCTGAGTAGTTGTGCACATAGCAATCAGGACTATTCGGGTAAACACGTTGGGAGGGGGGTTAGCGTTTCCAGCTTTTTTAATAATACATAGTTTTTTTTCTTTTTTCGAGATTGCACAGCAGGCAATTCATAAATGACTTGAGGATGAATTACTGAAAAACAATTGTTTCACAAAACTATGTTTGTTTGGAATTCGGTGATGGGTATATTTCGGAAATTGAAAATGTGTTTGGGCGGTGTCAGTCGTATGCAGGATGTTTACATTTCCGGTTCATATACAAATAATCACACCGAGAAAAGTTATGTACACGAACCAGCACACCAATGGGTCCTATTCACAAAAGCAGTCAAGTTGATTCATCGCGCTGAAAATCATCTGCCATGAAGCCTTCGTTCCAACATCAGTATACTTAGCATGTGAGCACCAGAATTCTTCTGATAGATGAAATGTTACCGCATATATATTGTTCACCTTTTAGGTGCCCACATCAATAAGTTCTCAAAGAGAAGTTCCGCAGCTGTATGTATCGTTTTTCAGAAAACTGCACGTGTACATTTCAACATGCTTACATACTGAACGCCATGATTTCCTGCATGTGCATTTTACGGCAGGAATGTCGCCCCAAACACACAGGACAAGAGCATACACGAAGGTCGATGGTGTTACGAAGTGCTCCGTTTGGTTCAATCATACATCAACATAGGAAAAGCTTTCTTTCAATGCCATCAACTGTATTTGTATTCTCTCTTGAAAGCATCTCTAGATATGGACCTGTATCTTATGAGGAGCTGGTTGATTTCATTGTCAACTAACACCCAAATGCGTGTGCCCGTCTGTGTGACTCCATCTTGTCCGATGCATCACATCCCTTACAAACAGCCCTATCTATCTCCATTTCAACCTCTGTCACCTGCCATAAATTTAAACCTTTGCATACTCGTACCACTGTTTTTAACAACTTCGTTGTACTTTACCTTTCACGTATGTTGGTTTCTAGGGAGTGAATATCAAACGAACTTATACAAAGTCCAAAGTTGAAATGTTCTTTATTTTTTTACGCGTTCTTGGTGTCTTATTCATTATAATCACATGTAAGGAAGTGACATGGCGCAATCGGAACAGCGTGAATCTTTCACGGTAACGTCGCGGTATGCACTCGTACGGTCAGTAACCCCACATCAGGAAGCCACTGGTTGATTTCTGTTACGATGACAAGTATTTGAGCTCACGCATACAATACACAGAGGTCAGGCCTCTCCCTGTCAGGTGTTGCGCAGGCTATGCTTTAGTTAGCTGTAAAATGCCGGTCGGTCTGATAAACACAATACAGTCTGATGCGAGATAGTGCACTCTTGCAAAGAAGTGTGAAATTCGTGGGATTTATTTCGATCTAAAACATAAGGCGTGAAAAAGCTACACTATAGAAATAAAATGGATTCCCTCTCAAGGGCATATTCGTAAACTGAACTGGTCGAAAGTCCTTGTGGGGCGATTAATTCTCCAGGAAAAAATCAAGGCACTCTGCGGTAGCACTGCATCCCAAATGAGTAAGAACATTCCTGCAGACAACTGCAATGTAACAAAGACCGTCAGAACATTCACCATGTTATGATAACCACATGAATATTTTAATTAGCTCGATAAAAAGTAGTAAATCACTTGACTCACTCGAAATTAGCCTCCCCGAACAACATTAAATATAGGTTAAGCGCGCCCGTCAGCTCTACCGAATGCGCACTTGTCGTGCTGATGGAACTGTGCAATAGCAGTGTGTTGAACGAATCCAACAAAAGAGTCCATAAAACTGCATTGGAGGAATGGAAGTAGGCAGTGCGAAGCATTTGATCCGGATACGATTTTAACGCAGATGATGGTCGATGCAACAGGTTCCAAGTGGCTTGATTGAGCAGTCGAGCAGGCATTTGACTACAATAAATAGGCCAAACTGCATGTAGTTGTAAACAAGCTGTTCCACTAGGTACGGGTGAATTCGATGAATGTATTGAATTATCACGTCTGAGAGTGTAAGAACAGAGAGAAATGGGGAGAAGGGACTGGACTCAAGTGACAAGCATAAACTTTCATGTATCATCGAAGTAAATAATTTCCTGACAAACGTCCTATTACATTCGTGCAACTAGACATGTGTTCTTTATTATACAACTCTTCAACAACAAAACAAAGCAGAAAAAAAGAAATTAAAGTAACCCAAACCAAATGCTTGAAACGTGCTATTTCACAGTAGAAAAATTAAACCTGCTGCAATGAGTAGGAACCAGGAATAGTCTTTTCAGATCAACAAGAATTAAAATTCGAGTTCCTATGGAATCGCCATTTGTTGGGACATGTAGATGAAAGTAGATATTCCTCTTGGTTCACTTTTGCCATGACTGGAACATAACCCTTTCGCAAAGCTAGCAAAGTAACTCCCTTTTAGCCAGAAGTTTTCATTAATTTATACCCGTGATTGCAAAACTAGGTGGAGAGGGAGCGACTGAATAGGCGTGGTTTTGCATCGGGTGCCAGTGAGAATGAATACAACCGAAGGAACAATAACGAAGGAATTCCTAAACGCGACACTGAGAACCAAGTGAGTGACAATTTTCAGGTCATCGGAGTTTGCTGGAATAACAGCGAAACCCACGAATGGTCTCGCATCGATCGAACAACAAGGGCTCATCAGCTGTGCAAAACGCATTCAGACTTTGGTTTATTCTGGGCTATCTTATCATCCACCAACCAGTAGGGTCACAATATGTAAAAAACAATTGAAAACTGGGTAGGAAAAACAGCGGACTGTACAAATTGAGTTCACAACGTGAATGCAAGATCTCGGTCAAAGCTTTTGAAAAAACTAACCATGCACCGTGCAACGGTTATGGTTGCTGTTTCACTGCTGTCTATTTCGATGAGGGTGTCAAGGGAAGACTGGAACGTTCAAACCAGTATCGGCAAAACTGGAGGTTCACCTAAGGGAGAGTTAGCTAAAAACCATGAGTTCAAACCACTTGAAATGCGGCGTACGAACCAAAATCATTCACGACTTCTTGGTGGTGGCAGTGGTCACCGTTAGCTTGGTCACCTTGGGGGTTAGCTTCCGTTCAAAGGGCGTATGATTCGATGAAAATATTTAAATTCCATATACGTCTGAGGTCAGACTATGTGCCAAATAATCCATGGTGCAACAAGCTTTATGAAAAATGTTCCATGATTTGCGTGATCCGAGGAACTGGACACTGGCCCCCAATGGATTGCGGTTTTCCCATACCGACCCGCTACCTTTCGAGCCAGACTTTGGCTAGTCAGTTTGTTCAGTTTATAAAACCATTAACTATGCACTATCGTGCGCCGCTTTCGGTTGCTGACTTTCGGCTAACCATTTGGATAAACATTAGGAGAAAGACAGGAAATATTGAAAGAAGGATCCAAGGGAAAATTCAGAATTTCAGTGGACTATTGTTGCAGAGAAATTCGCAAGATCCAAGAACGCCACTGGTTACGACACGCAGACATTTCACTCGGTGTCTCTAACAATCGAGCATGA